ACATTGCTGTTTTTCAACATTTTATGCTACAACCTGATCCACAGAGCTAACATAAGAGGATGCGTTTAAAAGAAAAAAGAAAAAAAAAGTTTATTTATTGACATGGGCATGAATGAGTGAGTTGTTACCAGTTTGAACTCCTCTGTCCAAAGCGAGCACCTTGTGTTGCACTACGACATCAGAACAGAAAATTTACGCGCCGTTTCCACTGTCTGGTTAACGTGTGAGGACAAATAAAGGGAATCCAGTTGGGATCATAAACAGGCAGCTGATTCATTGTGTTATTAAGCAAACACAGCGTTCAACTTTTGCAGCTCCGAACTGTTTTGGAGCCAAACTGTAAAATCAATCCAGTGGACATTTCACTCAGGTTTGCTACCTTTCCAGAGACGTGTACTGATTGCTGCATTTTGGCTTTTCATTCATTTATGTAGACTTGTTGATTGAACCATTTTAGGTAAAAAAAAACAATAATAAAAAAATATCCCTTTGGATTCTGATTGGCACAGAGGAGGATGCACTGAAGTCATATCTCTGAGAAAGTTGTTAGCATAACTTTATGCTGAGAGCTGTGTAAGTCTTAAAACAAGGTGCATCTGATTGTTTTTGTTTTTTATCCAAGGGCTTCATTACATAGCTTGTAAACCCTGGCTCATACAGTAGGACTGGCACAGTTTCCTTTTCTCTTTCATCAAAAACATGCACTAAATAAACCTTGTTCTTTGTCATCTCTGGGTTACAACGCTGTGTTCCCACTTCATTAGCAGCAAAGGAAGTTTGTATTTATTTTATTTTWWTTTTTTCCTATGGGAAAGGTACATGCCAAAACTCCAATATGATTTTGAATGAAGTCTATTTGAGTCAACGGTGTTTGTGCGCTTCAGTGCTGTTCCAGTGTGATCGGTCTGGTCCTGCCCCCGTCTTTCTTTTTGCTAATACCAGAGTTTGCCCTATTAAGCTGCTATCAAGACTGTGCAGATATTATGTGAATGAGTCCACAGTCAGTGAGAGCAAGACGGACGACAAGTTAAAGAGCTAATGTTTCAGGCAATATCAGGCAGTCTCTGTTCGATTACATCCACGTTCTACGACATGTAGTGTGTAAGTCCCTCCCACTCGAAGAACGGTGGCCCAGACATTTTGATCGCTCTGTTTGAACCCTCAGCGACGGCCACCGACAGCGCCGGCCAAGCACTTACTGCCATTTTATCTGTTTTCTGTCACAAGCGTGTTCAGTCTGTTGGCTCTGAACCAACAACGGTAGGTGTATGTGTGTGTAGCGCCGTATTTGCTGGAAGATGAGGGTTCAAAGAGTGGTTTATTGGTTATTTTTTTCTGGACCGTCGCTGTGCAGTGGGACTGAACTTCCTCACACATGTTTGACACTGACTGACAATTATTGAGAATATCAAAGCTTCAAACGTCTCATCCTTGCTGTACCAGATATTAAGAGTACTGAATGCCTTGGTGTTGATATGTTAGCAAATCAGGGTATTATTTTTGTTTGTCAATCTATTTTTTGATTGATCAGTCTGTTTCTTTTTGGTGTGTTGTTTCTTTTTTCCATTTAATTATACAATGTGCCCTGTGCACATGGACTGTATATACCTTGTGCCTAGTACATCTAGTTTCCACATAGTCTATTTTTGTGGTATGTATGTGCCTGTAAAAATGCAAATATGTGTTTTTATTTCCAACTTGCAATATATGTAAAAAGAAAACATTAGATGACGGCTAGTATTGCTGAATTACAATGACAATGTCAATATTTATAATTTTCCCTGATACGGGAAACACAAAATTGCACATTTTTGTTGGGTTGAACCTTCCAACACCATGCGCGCTGTACTCTGTATTTTCATGTTCTGTACATATGGTATACACAGAGCTGTGGGGCACCTTGTCGGGTTTTACCACAACCTGTTGTATAAGAAACATTTTCTACAGTGAGAGGGTGAGCTCTGACTGACTCCTGGTGGATATTGGCAGTCTAGACATTAGCTTAGATAACTTGCTCTCATTAAAGAGCCCAAAATGGTTGAAAATAAAAAGCAAAACTGTGGAAATGCTTGCGCAATATTCAAAACTAAAAAAACCATCTGCGAATACGCTGGGAAATAATTGTTAAACTGTGCTGTTGCACAGTTTTCTCACACTGATGTTGGTTGCACACTGATCTGGTGTTGGTCATAAAAAAAAAAAAAAAAGTGACACTGACTCTTGAGCCACCACAGTCTCGAGCCTGACTCCCGGTTGAGTTACCCAACATAAAAAGCAGAGTGCATGCTTGTATTTTTCTTATATAAGAAGAGTTCTGTGTGTGATTCTTTGTGGGACCTTCAAATCTAGACATTGTTGTGTACTAACTACTGAACAAAAAAAAACTTTTATTTAGTCTTACAGTTAAACTTTTGTGTCGTAGCTACTGTAGCCTGCTTAACTTACCTAAGCCTTCTCTCTGCTTCAGGACTCTGTGTGCTTGAGTTTGTGTGCGCGTGTGTGCGTGTTCCTGTGCCTTTCCTTCTATAATGTTGGTCCCACTTGAGAATACGACGCCATTTAGGGGTTTGAAACCCGCAAGTGATGCCGAGAGACGCCAACACAAACTGAAAAGTGTTAAATGGCCATGACCACAACTGCTCCATGAACAAATGACAAAAAGAAACAGAGATGCTGAAAATCCTTTCTAGAAATGAATCTAGCACACCCCTAGACTTAGTAGCATTCCACAGCCTGCACAAACTGCTTGGTGTGGGCGTCCAGACAAACTTTTACCAGCACCATGTAGACGACAGCACAGATATCTGATACAGCACGTGTTCGCTCTTTCTGAAGGCCAGTCTGCAACCATCTCAGGCTGTGCTCGGCTTCTGCTTGTGAAAAAAAAAGGTTCAAATAATACCTAACTCCAGCTCTGTCTTAAGTTGATGTCTACAATCCAGGGACAACTCAGTTCCAAGCCCAGGCCGCAGTGCTCCCAAATCAGTCCCAAAGGATCAGGGGAGGGTACTCGGGCGACGTTTGCCCGGTCCCTCTAAGACTGCAATGCACAGCTGGTGGCCGGGGCATGGAGCTGATTTGATCCTGTGTCTGAAAGGCTGTCTTGTCCACCACCTCTGCTGGCCGACAACGCAGAGCCACACCCTGGTCTATCTCAATAAGCTGGTCTGTCAGTCAGTGGCAATGTTGTTTGAGCATTCGTAAACAGACAATACATTGTTGTGCAATAAAAAGATGAGCGCATTGGCATACTTTTCTCTGTGTGTTGATTTTTATTCATTGGCATGTCTTTTGTTTGTTCATATACTGAGTCCTAGTTTTGTGTTTGTCTGAGACAGAGCGAGGGTAAATGAAACAGGTGGCAGTAGCGTGAGTGTTTGTGCGCGAGAAAAGGGGTGGGTGGGTTTTGTGCGTCAGAGAAAAGGGCAGTCCAAGGGCACCGTCCTCTGGCAGCTGGGAGGAGAAACCCACCGATTCCCTCTCTGTCTACATCATTTCCTTTGTGTTCACTCACACACATACGCACACAGCTGCATGGATCGTCAG